AAGCATCTGCCAATGAATGTGAACTAACAACAACAAGGTCGTGGGTATGGCTGCGACCGTAGGAAAAAACCCTAATATGAAGGTATTTTACTATGAATTTGACAGTAATGTTCTGTTCTCGTAGAATATCATTAAAGTTACGTAAATAGACTTTGACTTCACATTTTGAATGTAAATTAACGTTAAATCACTGTAATGTAATACAACATAATTGTCATGATTATTAAATGTATCTGTCTGTACATATGCATATTTAGATTGTTAAAATACATTCACAAATGTATCATGATCTCACAAATATCTGTCCGGTATTTGAAAGATTGAACTGTTGAATTCAAATGTAATGCTATGGAAACGTATATAACATGATCCCTATAAGCTTGTGTTACATCACATAAGTATTGTTATGGTTGCTAGTTAGGTCGTTCGTGGCTCAAGAGTTGGCAGTTCGCCTTGTGATCCAAAGATTACCGGTTCGCGCCCCGGCTCGGACACTCTCCGTCGTTGTGTCCGTGGTCATGACTCTTCACCTACCGCCTACTAGTGATGGCCAAAGGGGCCGATGGTGCGATATGGCAGCCTCGCCTCTGTCAGTCTGTCCCAGGGCATGTTATTTAAACCAACTGTTAACTGTATATTTCTGTACATTTACGTATTATGATTCATATTTCCACATTCAGTGACCTTGTTTATGGGTAATTTCATTGTTTGATCGCGTAAAAATGTTCCTAATTTAATGTCTAAAAGCACTTGGAAAAGGCAGAATGCCATGTCAAATTAGCGCAACAAACTCTATTTTCATTACTGAAAATAACCGTATTTTTATGGGACAGTTATTTTCTGTTATTTCATGGTCGTATTTTGGCGCCCCAGCTGCCGGAAGATTACCGTTGTTTTATGATGTTTTTTGTAACAGTGTGCACAATGATTTAGGCTTGTTTGGTGTATCATTCAGTAGGTGGAGGGACTTTTTAATCCATCACAGTACAGCAAACTAACATGTGAGCTTTAAATGAGCAGTCCTTCCCTTTAAATCTAAGCTCCCTTCTTCCTCTCCTGTCCTGTATTTCTTATCTTTCTCCATCTCTGAGGGAAGGTAGCACTCTTTCTTTTCTCTCTCTGTGCGAAATAAGCAGTTGAACCTTTAGCTGCAACACACTGTGAGGTCAGTTAATGTCCCATAAACCAAAAAAACAAACACCTGCCTACTTATAACCCTTGATTTAATATCTCCTTTTTATGCAAAATATCCCGGTGATTAATAAATGAACAGCATTTCCCTTCATGTGTTTCTGTTTAGGCTCAGATCGATTCGATGTTTGGAGACTTGAAGTGATGTGAAATAATAAATCGACCCAAAAGCATTAAAGCAAAAGTAAAAGGATGTTTTGAAAATACATGTACAAGATACATGATACAGATTAACGTAGTCAGAAAAAAAAACTACTCAACTAAAGTACAGATACCTGAAAATTGTACTTAAGTACAGTAAAGAAGTATTTGTCCTTTGTTACTTCCCACTTCTGGTAAGAGCACATTACTCAGACGACGGTATGGTAGTATATGAAAGTATATGAATATAAAACAAGCTTAAACTTAAAGAACATAAAATGCTGTTAATTTAATATAAAATATGTGTCTGAAAAAGCTTTGCACTGTGACACAGTCCTACATATCAAACTGAGGAAACAGTCTGCTTTGAAGATGGACTTGTTCTGTTTTCCTACAGAGCACCACGTCCTCTTCTTATACCAACATCTGCCAGTCTGTGTACAGGGAATGAGGAAACCCCGTTCATTTACTGAGATCAACAGCAGACTTTCCAGTGTAAGACTTCATAAATATGTGAACATGAGCTGACTCTGGATCAGCTTCTATACAATCATGGACTGTAAAACAGAGAGAGGAGCCACCCTCTCTCTCCTGCACTGTGTGTATTATTGATGGGATTTCCGGCTCTTTTTAGAGAACCGGCTCTTTCGGCTCCCAACCGGCTTTCAGGTAGTTTTGTTGCTTTAATTTATTTATTATTAACAACAATCTAGAATTATACACAACAGGTATTACTAATGTAAAAAAAACGTGGTTTTATATACGGTTGCCCCTAGAGACAAAACACGTACAAACTCCAAAACACATTTCTAGCATTAACTGAACTTCCAAAGCAGAACTACTAGATCACTTAAATTACACAATTGAAAGCATGTGTGTATTGTTTGTGGATTTATACACAAGCACTCATATAAATTCAAATAATTTTTAAAAAAAAGTTAATTTACCTGTTACTACCACACATCAAATCCGGTCGTTAGTACTTGATGGCTTGTGTAGCCACTAGGTAACAAAAACTCAACACTGCGCCAAGCACCCTGGAGCACTTTTGTTGTGTTTTGGAGTTTGTACGTGCTTTGACTCTAGTTGCCACTGTAAATACACTTTTATTTATTCACTCCACATAAAATGCAATAAATAAACTATAAAATACAAAAAGCCAACTATTCACATTTAACTATTTACATTTTCAGCTTTTTCCTTTTAAACTAATTTAAAGTGAAACAACACAAAACACTGCAAACCACAACACAATAAAATATAAATTAAAATATGCAAAACAAAAAGAAGATGCATATTCTCTGTCATATAGGCCTGGGATGATTTTTTGGGAGAGTGTTTTACTGCTTGGAATTGCATACATAGGATTCACTGCATGAATAAACTTTCTGAATCCTTTATCATCCGCAACTGAAAATAGTTGTGGATGATTACTATCCGGTCGTTAAGTGATGACGTGACGAATCCTACTTCCGGGCCTAAAGTAGTCTGCGTCTAATATGGCTTTTGTGTTGTTAACATGTTTAATGTTTTGTATTTTCTCTATTTGATCTCAAAAAGCTCCTAAAACAGTCAGTGATCACTGTTGACCTCCCTCGGCTTTTATTTTAATCATTTATTTAAGCTCAGTTTTTAAAACCTTAGGATGTAACTACAGCCCAGCCCATGCAGCAGCATATGAATGACTAACCTCGTATTGTGGATGGATTATCTCAGTTGTTCTCCTGGCTGAAGTTTGGTCCTTTTACAGCATCCTGCCATGCGATTACATTTGTTCC